ATGGAGAAACTGCAAGGGCTACATGCAATCTAATTAAGTTACATTCTTTACCTCCTGCATTTAGTGGAGGTACAGTTCAAATCTTCATATACATTTCATTCATTTTTCAAATTTAATTCATCAAATCACAATGCAATAATGAGGGTGCACTGTCACCACCACAGTTTATTGTAATGACTTCTCTATGTCCTTTGCTGCCATACTATGTGATGAGTTCACTAAGGGTACGATTGTGTCACCCTCCATCAAAATTTATATGCCTCCAGAGTCCTTTAAGTGTTAGCTGTAGAAACAAAGTGCAAGGACTTGCTGAGAAACAGTGACGCTCCATCATGGTAACAATTGTGGTGCTATTGCACTCCAGTTCAGTCCCTTCAATATATGAATTGTTGCAAAATTCTATGCAAATTTAATTGAAATTACATTTATAAGATTATTGAGTCTTTGTGGGAAAACATTTCTTTAGTTACTTTGAGGTAGAGAAGTTTTAGTGACAGAAACATTCTTAATTAGTAATCATCAAATCATTCGTTATACTGTAGTCATTTTTGCTTTTAGCATGATGGAAAATCAGAACAGAAAATTGGCTAAGTATGGAATATTGCATAATAAGAAGTAGCTTTTCATCTACACATGAGATTTATAATTGTCTTTTTTTTCTGCTAACATCTGTATGGTTGGAGGTGATTATATTCTTGGACTTACATATATTCAAAATTGGAGATTATTTTTGTAAAATGGATGTCTAAGATTGCATAGTAGAGTGGAGAATTAAAGAAAACACATACTGTATACCAAAATATAATAAACAAAAATCATGGAATCATATAAAAACCTTATTTGCTATGATATAAATTTAACTGCTACCAGATAGGATTACCTGTCAGTTGTCTACCTTGGTGTGGATTGCAATCAGTAAGTCAGTCTTTTAAATAATGAGTTTCCAAAATGGTCATTTATAATATATGTGTGGAGGGTGTGTGCACATGCACATCTACACATGTGTATACATATAAAATAAATGTATCATAAATAGAAATATGTATTCTGGTATATATAAATAGGGCAACACGAAATTAATGCATTCAACTATTTTTCACCACATGAGTTTATTTTAAGACTAAAGGTAGGCCGGCGCCGTGGCTCACTAGGCTAATCCTCCGCCTTGCGGCGCCGGCACACCGGGTTCTAGTCCCGGTCGGGGCGCCGGATTCTGTCCTGGTTGCCCCTCTTCCAGGCCAGCTCTCTGCTGTGGCCAGGGAGTGCAGTGGAGGATGGCCCAAGTACTTGGGCCCTGCACCCCATGGGAGACCAGGATAAGTACCTGGCTCCTGCCATCGGATCAGCGCGGTGCGCCCGCCGCTGTGCGCTGGCCGCGGCGGCCATTGGAGGGTGAACCAACAGCAAAGGAAGACCTTTCTCTCTGTCTCTCTCTCTCACTGTCCACTCTGCCTGTCAAAAAAAAAAAAAATTAAAAAAAAAAGACTAAAGGCAAATATATTTTTCCGTTGTCTTATTTTATGGTAAAAGTAAAATAAAAATGTGGTCCATATACAGGAATAAGAAAATGGACCTGTATATACATGTTATGATCAATCAGTGATCAGTTTTATTGATACTAGTGAATATTAGAGATACCAGACTATCATTATAAAATGTTACTGATTCTATTTTAATGTTTACTGTTTCCATGGCCAGTGGGTCAGATGTCCAAGATGGATAACGATTGGTTTTATGCTTCAGACTTTAGAACTAACAAGTAAAAATGAAAAACATTTGGATATGATTAAAGAGCAAAGAAACAAGGGGATGAAGAGAAACCAATTCAGAAAATAAGGAACAGTTGGTTTGCCCTAATTACAGCCATTTTGATTTTTCTTTTTTTTTTTTCTGTATGTGTCAATTGGAAGTTTGGTAGAAAGTTAACCCATTAGCCTAATTACAAAAATATATTCATTGCAAATTTTCTAGGGGGACTTTATCTTTTCCTGAAACTCAAATCTTAAATTCAGTTACAGTTTGTATTGGCCGTAAGTCTTTCCTTTGATGTAGTATAGCAGTTTGCTTTTCGTTTCTTAAGGCTGACAAACTGATAGCAACCATCATTTAGATAAGTATGTGTTGACATGAATAAAAAAATCATGTCAATGTCAAAGTCAAAGACTGAATTGATTAACAAGTTTTATACTTGGATTAGGTTCAGTTGTGCAAAGTGAAGCTGAATCTAAAGAAAAAAAGATGGATCATTTATGTATCACTATCATGAACTTGCAGAATGTCTTTACAGATAACACTAAAGTAAGGCCTAAACTTTGACCACCTTTTTATCAGATCTTCTTATATAATACAAATTATAGAAATAGGTAATACTTTTGTTTTCATAGTGGAGATGAATTGACAGGGATTAAGAATATTTCAAACTTTATTACTTTCTCTTTGGTTTTTGCTTTTCCCATGTTTTTATCATTTATCCTGTATTCATCTTATGTTGTAAGTTACATGTTTTGTTTATAAATGTGTTAGAAAAAAATGACTCCCATGATTTTATTGACAAGTGCATATCACATGTCTGTTTGATACCAAACATCCCCCCTTATTATTTGAAAGATTTGAGTCATTAAATGTAGATCTAAGAGTAAAAATGGGAAAAAGAATCATAATTTCAAATAACAAATGACTGCTTACACATTATATTGTTGCACAGGTTGCAGATTTCCTCTATGTTAACTTTCTTGTATATTTTCTTTGAGTCTTACAGTACTTGCTTTCCTCCTACTCCTCAACACACACCAAAAATAGCTGAATCTTCAGAATGGCAGTATATATTAGAGGAATTTCCAAATGTCCATGAAACAATGTGATTAAAATATGATGTGCATTTTTTAAAAGATGTTATTTATTTGTTTGAGAGGTAGAGTTACAGAAAGAGAGAGGGAGAGACAGAAAGAAGGTCTTCCATCCAGTGGAGCTTCTCTCGGGTCTCCTACGTGGGTGCAGGGGCCCAAGTGCTGCGGCCATCTTCCACTGCTTTCCCAGGCCGTAGTGGAGAGCTGGATCAGAAGAGCAGCCTGGACCAAAACTGGCACCCATTTGGGATGCGGGTGCCACAGGCAGAAGATTAACCCTACTGTGCCACAAGGCTAGCCCATCCTATATTTTCCAGGAACTTTTTGAAGTCCTCTTGTCTATGTACTTACTGAATTCTGATGGTTCTTAGGAACAAGAAGGTCAATTTAAAACTGAAGCAAGGTCAATTTAAAACTGAAAAGTTCTTCAAACATTTTGTATTACAATTGTTCCTTTAATTTCTAGCATTCACAGTTCTGAGTTGATTAACGTGAGGAATGTTGTAAACTTAAGAAATAGTAGGAAAGATAGTATTGCAAGTGATTGTATCATTTGAAGGATGATTTAAATTATGTCAGAATCCCCAGAACTTAGCTTGAAAATTCAGAGTGACCCCTGTGTTTCCTTCAATTCTGAATTATTTTTCTCATGTCGCTATACCTTTTTTCTCTAAAACAGGAATTCTTCATGCCCTTAGTCTTTTTAATCCATTTTGGCTGCCTGTTCATTTTAGCAGTACCTCCTAATGAGGGGATCATGTTAGAATTGCACTAGGAACTTATAAAATGAATTATAATCAAATAAATAAAATAAAATGAAATAAATACACACATTTTTAGAACCTGTCATCAGAAAATCTGATACATTAGGTAGAAGTAGCAAATGTACTTCACAAAACTTTAATCATTGCTTGATATACTACTTTATGCCACATCCTAACCACATTTTTTCATTGTCTCCAGTAATTTTTTTAAAGATTTTTTTATTTATTTGAATGAGTTACAGAGAGGCAGAAGCAGAGAGAGAGAGAAAGGTCTTTCATCTGCTGATTTACTCCCTAAATGACTGCAATGGCCAGAGATGAGCTGATCTGAAACCAGGAACCAGGAACTTCTTCCTGATCTCCCACACTGGTTCAGGGGCCTAAGCACTTGGGCTATCTTCCACTGCTTCCCCAGGCTATAGCAGAGAGCTGGATTGGAAGTGGAGTAGCTGGGACTCGAACCATCACCCATAAGGGATGCCAGCAATGCAGGCTGGGGTTTTAACCTGCTGTACCACAGTGCCGGCCCCTTCAGTCAGTCTTAATACCCTATGCTTGTTCTCACTATGCCAAGCATAGATATCCAAGTAATTTGTTGTATTCCATACTATTTACTTTTGTATATGCTATTCCTAAAATACCTTTCTAATCTCTTGTTTTTCTCTTTCTTTTCACTCTACATCTTTTATCTGTCAAAAGATATCTCTTCGTGGATTTTCCTCTAATGGCAAATCTTTCCTTACTTCCCTAGGTGGAAATAGTTATTTTGCCTTTTGTGTTTAGCATTTATATTTCATTATGATTTTTCAAATGTCTTCCATCTTTTCCATTAACCTATGAGCTCAGTGAAATCACCTGGTATATCTTGTTCATGTTTATATCAAATTAATACATAAATGAATAATAAAGTGTGAAGAAATGTAAATTGATATGTGCACACTTTTTATATTCAAAAAGCAGGATGGGGAGAGAGGGAGAAGGAGAAGAAGGAGATGGTGAGGGAGGGAAAAGAAGAAGGAGGAAGAGTGGTAGAGGTAGAGGGAGAGCACTCCCACTCACTGGTGTACTCCTCAAATAACTGCAATGGCTGGAACGAGGGCTGGTGAAGCCAAGAGCTGGGAACTCAGTCCAGATCTCTCATGCGGGTGGCAGGAGCTCAATTATGTGAGTCATCACCTGTTGCTTCCCAGGGTTGGCATTGGCAGGAAGCTGGAATTGGGGGATGGAGCAGAGAATTGAACCCAGACACTCCAGTGTGGCATTTGGCATCTTAATGATTAGACTAAACACCTGCATGTGCACATACTTAATTTTGTCTTAGTATAGATTCTCATTAAAACTTACCTGCAAATGTATTTATTTTTCTCTTCCTTTTTTCCCATTTCTACAGACGAAATCTCACAAAACTATCGCTTATCTTCAGTCACATGCTTGCAGAAATCAAGGCAATCTTTCCCAATGGTCAGTTCCAGGGAGATAACTTCCGTATCACCAAAGCAGATGCTGCTGAATTCTGGAGAAAGTTCTTTGGAGACAAGTAAGTAAAAATTGTTCATATAGGTTGGATCCGTCTTCAAGTATGATGTTGTCTAGCCTTTAGCTGGACATTCACTAGAGTGTTTTGAGAGTGAATTTGAGTGTTTTTGTTAAGTATGTTGTTTGTTAGTTTTTCTGGTATAGCCCCCAAAAGTATGCCTCAGTGATATTTTAAGTGTTTTTACTTATTTAAAAGACAGAGTGACAGAAAGAGGGAGGGAATATGGGAAGGAAGAAAGGTTGGATTGATTTTACATCTCTTGGTCCACTCCCCAAGTGGCTGCTACAGCCAGTTCTAGGGCAGGAGGAAATTAGGAGCCAAAAACTCCATCCTAGTCTCCCACATAAATGTTGGGGCAGCAAGCACTTGGGCCATCTGCTGCTGCTTTCTCACGAGCATTAGCAGGTTGCTGGATCAGAAACAGCACTTGGTCCTCAAACCAGCACTGAATTATGGGATGCCAGCATTAAGCAGCAGCTTAACCTACTGTGCTACACAGTAGCCCCTGGAATTATTTTTTATTATTGAAAAGTAATTATCAGATCTCATGAGGTTACTTCATAAAATTCATGGAAAATAGTATTAAAAGTTACTTATTGGGGCCAACACTGTGGTGTATTAGGCTAAGCCTCTGCCTGAGGCATCAGCATGGTTCATGGTCTTGCTTCTCCTCTTCCAATCCAGATCTCTGCTAATGGCCTGGGAAAGCAGTGGAGGGTGGCCCAAGTCCTTGGGCCTCTGTGCCCTTGTGGGAGACCTGGAGGAAGCTTGTGATTTCTGTCTTCAGATCTGCCCAACTGTGGCTATTGCAGCCATTTGGGGAGAACTAGTGGCTAGGAAATCTTTCTCTCTCTCTCCCTCTCTCTATCTGTAACTCTACCTCTGAATAAGTAAATGAAATAAAAAAAATTACTTATTTTAATGCAGAAAAACTTTTGAAACCCATACATAGTTTTCTATGATACACATTTTCTGTGAACTTTCAGAAGACCCCTGTATGGCATTTTGTATTTTATGACTATTTATTGAGGTTGTTTGCTCTAAGAAGCAGAGTTACATAGAGTCTGTATATATGAGAGGCCCATAACTATTTATAACATAGTGCACACATAAGGCATATATAAAAATAAGAGGATGAAGGGAGCAAATACTTCAAAAATTAAATACGTAAGCTTCTGGCAGTTCAGTGCAGGGAAAAGTTACTTCACAATTAACAACAACCAGAGACTGCTCTATAAAAGAGACAGTATGTGAGCTTGCCTAAGATCTGAAACTAACAAGGCAGAAGGGCCTCACGCCCTGATCCAGCATTTCCTTGTCTTATTGCATAGAAAGTACATATATCTGTGAACAAGATACAGAGATAATGTTATTATAGTGTTATATTATATCACACTGCAGCAGGGTAAAGATGTTTTCCATTCAGTGCTTCCTACCTAGAAGCATGTTCTGGTGAGCTTGTAGGTAATTGGGCTTGGATGACTAAAGTTAGCATAATGTATATACAACTTGGAACACTTTTGTTGGGAATCTCTAAGTAAGATGACCAAGAGCTGACCATTACGAAGCAACTGATTTCCCCAATAATATTGTAGGATTCCTTTAGTGAGAAAGCATACTTAGCATGTCATTGAAAATAGGTGAAAACCCTGGCAGTGAGTAGTAAGAGGAAGACTGATGGCTTTCACATAAATTACTGTATCACTTTGCCTATAAAATTGTATATTTATCCCATAACTGATAAAATTATTCATATAAGATATTGCTATACAATTTTTATGGCTTTAGTGTTATGACACTAGTGACCTATAACATTGTTTTCTCTTTTTTTTCTTTCCAAAACTCCCTATTTGTAGCTTCCATTACAATTAGAAATACTTAACGTGGAGCAATGTACATTTGATCAAATGCATATTTTTACTTAAGAAATATTAAAGCCTGTTTCCCACTTCTTATACTAAAATATAGTCTGTATTACCTTTAGACACTAATGGAGAAAATACTATTATTTCCATTAATATGGGCATTCTCTATTTTGGAAATCTAGCCATTTCTTTTTTTACTAATTTTATTTTTATTTATTTATTTGATAGGTAGAGTTACAGACAGTGAGAGAGAGAGAGACAGAGAGAAAGGTCTTCCTTCCGTTGGTTCACCCCCCAAATGGCCGCTATAGGTGGTGCTGTGCCAATCCAAAGCAGGAGCCAGGTGCTTCCTCCCGTTCTTCCATGCGGTTGCAGGGGCCCAAGCACTTGGGCCATCCTCCACTGCCCTCCCGGGCCACAGCAGAGGGCTGGACTGGAAGAGGAGCAACTGAGACTAGAACCCTGCACCCATATGGGATGCTGGTGCCGCAGGCGGAGGATTAACCAAGTGAGCCACAGCACCGGCCCTGAAATCTAGCCATTTCTAATGTTGCATTCACAAATGAGGAATTTTAAAAAAGTGTATCTTTATCTGAAAGAGAGTGACAGCCAGGAATATGCTTGTTATTTGTGAATGGTAGAGAGCAGGAAGGGCTGACTGGATTCCAGGAGTAAGAACAGATAAGGTTTCCTGTAGTTACAGCTCCTGTGTTAACACTCTATGCTTTACGCAGACAGCTGGTAGCCTATAAGTTACGTTTTCTCTTAAAAGTACAAGAAAATATATAGAAGCAATTACTTGTGACATTTGTTTATAAAACTGATTACTTGTTATAGAACCAGTAAAACCATGGAAAGGTTACCCACATGTTTTTAAACAGAGGAGTTTACTCTGCTGATGTCTTTAGCCACAGAGAATTAAACATCTGAGACGTCGTTATTTCCCTTTATTTGTAACCACAGATATCATGGGAGTGAAATTTCTGTTCAGCTGCTGCATGAGGGAAATCACTCTTATAACAGATGGAAGACTTTTAAAATATTGATTAGATATTAACTCTACCTCACAAATCCTCTTACCTTTGTCTTCTGTTTTCCCTGCCTGGAGACAGCCACTTAATTTCATCATTAACATTTTTGTTTGGGGACTTTTAGCCAAATTTCTAGCTCCTTCTGGAACTTACATATATTTTCTAGAATCATCCATGTAAGTGGTTTCTTTTCTAGGTTATTGTGGAGACCCTATGTTCTCCATGGGTTTTCATCTTGTAGTTTCACAATATTTTATTTAGTGAATGTACAAATGAATGAATGGTATAACCTTTTAAAGGGGTGAATTCTTTTATTTTCCTTATACTCTAATATTCATTTGTATTTCCCCATAACTTCATTCTTGTATAGAAGCATTCCTCTCCTTTATCTTATTCATTTCGGCCATGTAACAGCCTTTTCATTTAACCTAACCAGTGCCTTTGAACTTGAGAACAGCATCATTTGCAGTAGTAGAACCATTAAGAATTTGCTTCTAAAAATACCCAGACGTATTATGATTTTGTAATGCAGCATTTAGCTTAAACAGTTTGATTGTGACTTTTCAAAAATAACCAAGTGAACATGAACAAATTATTAAGGTTGAATTAATGTTGAAGGAAGCTATTCTTCACGTTAAGGCAATTTAAGGATTCAGAGGTTATAGAAACAGACAACAGAGAAATATGTTTAGGAATTATAGGCCTAATACTTTATTTCTTTGTCTCCGAACCTTTTGGAAGTCATGGCAGGACTGACCTCTGCTCAGACCCCAAGAGATTTTTCACTGCTTGAGGCCCAAGGGGATCAGTAACACCAGATTTGTAATGGCAGCTGGTTGGAAAAGCCTGCATTTGTTAAGTTTTTATTCAAATTCATTTAATATTTTTAATTGTTCAGTCCCATTTTTGCTTTCTTGATTGGTTGACTAGAAGATGGTAGAAATACACAAGGTAAGAAAGATGATGTTATTGAATAAATGTCTCTGAGTTCTGCCAAATGAAATAATACCAAACTAAATCTTCACTCTCTGAAGTTCTACTTTATAATTCAGAAGCTGTAAGCATAATGCAGTCCTTGAAGGGGGGGGGGGGGGGGGGGGAGGTAGGAACGTTATTGGGATTGGACTCTGGGTGGCAGTCAGGTTGCAGTTCCCAGGCTGCCCTTGCTAAGTACTACTTGACTTTGAGACTTAGGCATACATTTCCAAACAAATTATAATTCAGGAAGAACCCTGGATTCTGACTCCTTTTTTAAATTCATTTTCTCTTTTTCTCGTCACATTTACTTTAGTTCAAGTTTTTTTTTTCAAGTTCAGACTCCTCCCTGGATTACTAAAGCAGCCTTTTGATTGGTCTATTTTCAAGAACACCATATCGAATTGTTCTACTTAGTGATATCTCTGAAAAGAAAGAAAATCATTCCAATCATCTGTTTCAGGTGCTTCCATGAATATTAATTCTGGTTCAACTAAAATCCCATTAGCATGACAAGTTTTAGGAACTGTTTTTTTTTCTAGCTTCATTTCTATACTCTGCTTATCTGTGAAGAAACAAACTACTCAACATTCTCCTCATATTTCCTGATGCACTTCCCTTTATCCGCAGCTCTGCATCTTTGTTTCCCTAGATCACACCTCCTACGTGGGTATCCTGTCACCCATGGCCTACCCAGTGTTGCCACTTGGAAAGCTTTCCTTGACTAGTATCATCCAAAATAGACATCCCTACTCTGTGCTGCCGGGTACCTGGGCCCACATCCGTCAAGCTAGCTTGCAGTGAATTACTAACGTGTTTGCATTTCCTAGTTGAGAGTTTTCCAATAGATGATAGAGATTCTTCGAAAGCAGAGACTGTGTCTTACTATCTTAGTTTTTCAGAGCCTGGCACACTTCCTGGAATGTGTAGGCAATAATCAGTGTTAACATTCTGTATGAATAATTGGATGAATGAATGCTATTTATTCTATGTTCTCAATTTGCAATGGCTTTATCATCTATAAATTGATCTTCTTAAAAAATCATCTGTTTGTTTGCTTCTATTCCCTAAATGTCTGTCTTTCCTCTTCTTTTTCTCTGTTATCCCAGAATTTTGATACCTTTCTTTA